TCTCTCTCTCTCTCTCTCTCTCTCTCTCTCTCTCTCTCTCTCTCTCTGTCGTGTGTGTGTGTGTGTGTGTGTGTGTGTGAGAGAGAGAGAGAGAGAGAGAGAGAGAGACAGAGAGAGAGACAGAGAGAGAGACAGAGAGAGAGAGACAGAGACAGAGACAGAGACAGGAATGTGCTAGAAGATCATACAAATGCCCTTCATTCACTTTAATAAAAGATTCAGGAAAACTAGAGATAGATACAATGTAGATGTGACGTAAGACTCAGGTTGTATAGACATTTTTACAGATTTCTAAGAGCAGACTTTGACCTTTCCCTCCATCACTTACAACCATCAACCCCACACAGATTAAGCATCAACTTGAAACTACAAAATGACTACAAGAAAGCATAGTGGGAAATCACAGGCACTGGTCTAAGACAGACTACTCTAAAGTTAACGCAAAATATCAGGAAACAGATGCAAAAATAGACAGAGGGGATTCCATTCAACTTGAACAGCCAAGGGGACAGCCAGAAGCCTGAGGTGACAAGCTGCAGGCAGAGAGGTGTTTGCATCGCGTACAGAGTAAGGAGACCAGTCCTCAGCATACAAAAGTCTGAACTCTATAGAAAGAAAACAGTGGATGTGGCTTCTAATCTGGAAAGGAGTCTCAATAGACATCTCTCTAAAGAACGCACACAAGTGGCCAACAGGTGTATGGAAAATGCTCCAAGTCAGGCAAAAATTGTAAGTTAAACTGTATCGAGTTACTGCTGGCACCTGTTGAAATGACTAATATCAAAAAGAAAGCAGATACGAACGTGAGAGGAGGGAGGGTAGGCTAGTCCCTCATGCTGCAGCTAGGAATCAAAATTAAGGTGGCCATTACGGGAAATAGCCATATAGAAGTTAAGGGAGGGGCAGATAAAAAAAAACCCTAAGACTAAAAATCTAACTTCTGAACAATCCAACACTAAGGTTTTATCTAGTGATTTAGAATCTGTTAACTGAGAGGAAGGCTTTTAGAAAACTGCTAAAAGCAAATTTGGTATTTCCCCCCTAATTGGCCCTGCAGTGACACGAGGTGGGTGCTTACAGGAGAAAAGAGACTATAGCTGAACACCAGGCATCATTTCCCCAGAGGATGCCTGAAAACGAGCATCCAAAAACCAGCAAAAAGTCTGGAAAGAGCAGCTGTAGAGTCGAGAGACTGGCAGGGTTTAACAATTGTCAAGTTCAGCTCTACCTAATGCTTAGATTGTCTCTGTTGAAAGATCATGACACCTGCTGAGGAGTCCCCTACGCACCCACTGAGGTGAAGCAGAACAGAAGCCAATGACGTCAGGGTGTACACATCACCCTCCGACACTCGCTCCCTCCCTCCCTTCATCTCTCCCTCTCTCTCTCTCTCTCTCTCTCACACACACACACACACACACACACAAATAATAATAAAGTAAATTAATAAATATTTAAACTATTACAAAAATTCCTTCCAACAGACTCTAGAATTTGGCCCCATACATATTCTGCAGGTCATGCTTAAAGAAATTAGCGTCTCGTTGTTCTTCTGGCCAGAAGTCTGTCTTCTAAGGATAGACTTTGCCACCCTCCCTCTTATCCATGCTGAGCTCTGACCTGTATGGTCCAGCAGCCCTATGTACTATTGGAATGGGTCTCAAGAGAGTATCTATCAATGTTCAAGGCTGATCTTAGGTCAGGCTGTCATGAGGAAAGCTCACAGGTAAACTGGCCGGCTTCTGAACAATGAAGATTCTAATTCTTCATTTCATTTGATTCCACATACATGTTGAGAATGTGGGTCTTATCCTTCATCAAAGCTTGGTTTCCATGTGATAAAATTGTTAAGTTTATGTTGAAGTTCTACAAACAGCAGAATTAAGAGTCTAATGCTTTACAGACTGAACCAGCTCCAAATCCCACCAGACTGCACAACTAAATCTGAAGTCTGGTAGCTGAAGAGATGGTGGAGTGGTTAGAAGCAATGATGCTCTTTAAAGAGACCACATTTCCCATAACTTACGTCTGCCAGTTACCATGCCCTGGAACGCCAGCTCCAGATCTCACACCCTCTGCTGGCCTCCTCGGGTACTGCACTCTTGTGTACAAACCCACATGCAGACACTCACATATACAAGTAATAAGTAAAAATAAAAATCTTTTCATCAAACCTGGAGTCTGATTTTAACAAAGGTGGTCCACAAAATTGCAAGAAATAAAAGACATTCCTAATCTCCTCCCAGTGCTGCTCAGCTGACAGATCCCAGCCCCTATCTCCAGCATGTTCTGTGGACTCCACTGAATTCAAATAGCATCTCTGCATCGTCTCTGTCTGTGGTCATCTTTTCCTACCACAACCATTGAGGTGGCTGGATTCAGGTTGGACTCCAAGCATTTGTTTCTGTAATTCAATCTCAAGCCACCAAGGTCACAATTGAACTAATTATAATGTCACAGACTGCGACGAATTTATCTGTTTACCACTCTTCCATGGGCAGGAAGTGCAGCACTGTCTTCAAAACCAAGAGCAACATGAACCCAGCCTCCATCTCCACAGCCTTAGAGGTAAACACAGGGCCACAGTGGAAGTGACTACGAGATTCTGGCACTAGGCTGCCTTGAAAGGTAGAGAGTTTTCTGTGTCCTAAGGGCATATCTAGATGCTGGGGTCTCTGCAGGCAATGCCTAGACCTCCTCATCAACAGTAACATCCAAGGTTACTCTGAATGCCTTTGACTGGGAGCATCTTCGGCAACAGTGGGTAACTCTGTATGGCTGTCTGTTGGAATCACACGATACACTGAGTCCCTCACACTCTACTGCAAGTCAGCTCTGTTATCAAGTCACTTCCCTGTTGGAACAGAGGTTAGCACTTCAGTTTCTATACGGACATGTATTCGCTTTGTTTCCATAAGCTTTCACTGAGCTGATGCTTTGTGCCTCAGGAGGGCTTTGTGCCTCCCCTTAGCAACCTCATGGTCTAATGTAGAGAGATTGGGGGTTGGTGCTCAAGACAAGGGTTCTCTGTGTAGTCCTGGCTGTCACAGAACTCATTTTTTGTAGAGCAGGCTGGCCTCAAACTCAGAGATCCACCTGCCTCTGCCTCCAGAGAACAAAGACTAATGGCATGTACCCCGAAACTGGCTGGAGGAGAGATCTTCAGAGCAGGCTTAGTCTAGAGTGAGGGGGACTGTGGGCAAGGGGTAGCGCCCTGACAAGAGGCCTGAAGAAGCTAAGGATGAAGTCCTAAGGTGAGTTTTCCCTCTCTGAACTCCCAAACATGTCCTCCAGGCCTATGGCTCTCAAGCTTCGCCTGTGCTCTCAGGGACCGTTTCAGATGGCCAGGCCACACACCGGCCAGCAGGCCGATGTCTTGCTTGGGTGTGCGTTTATGTCTCTCTCTGGCTCGATGCCCATCCCTCTGCCCACACAACAGAAAGGTCAATAAAAGTCGGCCAGATTCGTGCTGTACCTGTGTTCTGGATGCCTGGATCTATGTCCTACTTCCCAAGAACCATGATGCTTCTGCTGCTGGCTCTTCCTGTCCTTGCTCTTCTACCCCAAGTGATACCAGGTAACAGACCCATAGGAAACGACCTAAGTGGCATCTTGGCGTTTTAAAAGTCTTGCTACGGCTCTCCAGGAGGCCCTTCGTCTCCTCATGTTCTGGGATTTGGCAAGCAAAATGTCTGCAGAGCGGTTACATGGATGACAGAGCTGGCTTTTATCTCCCTTGGACTCTGAAAGTCTAGGGCTTGAAAACCATTGCTTTTTAAAGATCACCCAAAGGTCTGGCTAAAACCTTGACTTTCTTGTTCCAGAAAACCTGCCTCCTCAAATAATCATAGTCATGAGGTGGATTTCTTTCTTTATATAGCTGCTTACTTTTATTCCTTTATTTATTTTTACCTGGGAGAGCACATATGTGGGTGTCACAGTGAACGCATGGAGATCAGAGAAAAAAAGTGTGGGAGTCCGTAATCTCCCTCCATTGTTGGGGACTTAGGGTCAACTCAGGTCTACCAGGCTAAACAGCAAGTACGTGGAGCTATCTTGTCAGCCCCAGGTAAGTTTCTTGATATGGGTAGATACAGGTCTGGGGAGCTCTGTAGTGACTGTCCCTGATGCCTTACAAGTAACAAGTTTACTTTCATTGATGAGTGATCAATCACACTTTGAGAAAAGCTAAACATGGGCAGAGAAAAAAAAGTCAGGAACAGCTATTTGGAGAAGCATGGTATTACCAAGCTGCAGCTAGGAAGGAGCCTAAGGGCCGTGTCCTGCTCCGGTCACAGTGGTGGGACCACAGGGCGGAAGGCCAGGTTCATAACCATCCAGCAACAGCAACTGAAAACCATCGATCTCTCCTTTGATTATTTAGACTATGGTGCTGAGGAAAGATGCTTGGAAAGATCAGGACACTGCAGGAAAAAATGCAAAGATGGAGAAATGGCTGAGCAAACGTGCAAACATTACCGAGTCTGCTGCGTTCTGGACACCATCAGCAACAACCAAAAGGCCTCCAGGACGGGGACCATGAAGGAAACCACTACAATAGAGTACGATCTGTCCTCAGACTTCATGGATGTACTTAACATAACATAGTTGATGGAGCGATAAAGGATGAATTAATTAATTAATTAATTAATTACCTGAGAGGTGGCTGGAGAGCCCTGTCCCTGAAGTTTACGATAGCTCCTGACTTATCAGCTGTCACTTGCTCCTGTCCCAAGAAGGATGGACTTAGTCACACGTAGAAAGCGCTGAAACACCCACGATGATTGTGTAGCTATTCTAGATAAAACCTATTGTGTAAAGCATCCCAATGTTTCCAGTGGCAAAGTCTTCCATGCTCTTGAAATGTCAGTGGATCGCTGTGGACACTGTGCTCCTTATTTGCTGGCGATCTGTGTTGGGGTTGACGCTCTTGAGGAAGAATTCGTTTCCACACTGGCATTTCTCTCTGTCCTACTGTCTTTCTGACAAGAGTTTGGGGGGAAACCAGGGTGTTCTCTTGTGTGAGTTTCCCTTCAGATGAAAGCTGAAGTGAGTGAAATCAAAATCCTAGAGCTTTGCATGTATGGTTTTCTCTACTAGGGTGTAAAACTTTGCTTTGAGGGCTGGAGAGATGAGGTTCTAGAGCTCTCGATGCCCCCAGCCCCTAGCTAAGGCCTTTTCACAACTATCTTCACTGAGAAGGTCAAACCTATGTTCTTCCTGAATCGTAAGTCTGGAGTGACACTTTCCCAGATCATTGGCCCTGTTGTGTGAGAGGACACAGCATAGCATCAAAGGGAAGAGAAAAGCTCAAAGGATAGACCTGTCACTCAGTATGACTTTCCTTAAACACAGGTGTGCCTCGCCAAGCAGACATGGGGCCAGCAAGGCAAGCAAAGGACCTTGCTCATGAAGCAATGGGGGATTGAGTTGGTTGCAGATGTGGGAATGGGTTGGCGATAGTGTGTGCACGAGGGTGAACACAGAGCCTACTGGAACATTGTTGCAAAGCATAATGTCATCGGGGACTATTGGCTTTCAGAGGTGAGCTCACTCAAGGAACTTCCCACTGGGCAATGAGAAAACTTGAAGACACCTCAAGGTTTACTTGCTATTGCTATCATAGCTGTAGAACCATTGACCTTTTTTCCTAGAGGAGTAGAGAGGTTTTAATTCTCCAAAGAGAGAAGTAACCCCAGAGGACTTCAAAGGACCAGATAACTGAAGGAGAAGTTCCCTCAATCACAGGGAAGAAAAAACAAAAATAAAAGAAGCTCTAAACTCGGGGAAAACACAAGCAAGAGAAAAGTCACAGAGAGCGAGCTTAGCGCTCCAAGGCAGTGGTGGTGGAAGAGCTGCCTAAAGGCAGACTTCTGAAACTTCCAAGGAGACGGTCTAGTTGTGGTTGGACCATAGCCAGCTCCCTAAAACAAGCTATACCAAAGCCAAGTTAGGCACAGTCAGAGAAGTAGAAAAAGATACAGCCTTGGGTAGCTACTCTCCTACTGATGTGACTGGAGTCAAAGAGAGAGAAACAAGATATTAGTGGGAAGTAAGACATTAGAAGTAAAAATTAGCTAATAATGGTGGCACACACCTTTAGTCCCAGCACTTGGGAAGCAGAGGCAGGCAGATCTCTATGAGTTCAAAGCCAGCCTGGTCTACAGAGCGAATTCCAGGACAACCAAGGTTACACAGAGAAACCTTGTCTCGAAAAAAATAAAATAAAGGGGTGGGGAGAGTAAATATTATGACTAGGGAGGTGGCTCAGTGGATAAAGAGACTTTCCCAGCAAGCCTGAGGACCTGGGTTCAATCCCTGGACTCCACATAAAGGCAGAAGGAAAGAATCAATCATATGGAGCTGTCCTCCGAGCTCTACAGCATTATGGGCCACCCTTATGTAGACACACACCATATATACACACACAATAAAAATGAATTGTCTGTAGAAGGGAGGAGAATGGAGGGAGGGGCCGTGTGAGGGGGACTGGGAGGATAAGGGGCTTCAGTCAGGATGTAAACTAAATAAATAAATAACTTAATGGAAAAAATTAAATCATAGGAGGACCATAAATAAATATTCCATCATCAGAAAACTAGCTGCTGTCAGAAGCAGAAAAAAAAGGAGAATGAGTTGTTTAAAAATAATAGTTTTTTTTAGCCAGGAGGTGATGGCTCATACTTTTAATCCCAGAACTTGGGAGGCAGAGTCCAGCAGATCTCTGAGTTTGAGAACAACCTGGAGCAGAGTGAATTCCAGGACAGCCAGGGCTACACAGAGAAACTGTGTCTCAGGAGAAAAGGAAGACAAAGATGAGGAGGAGGAAGAGGAGGAGGAGGAGGAGAAGGAGGAGGAGGAGGAGAAGGAGGAAGAGGAAGAGGAAGAAGAGGAGGAACAAGAGGAGGAAGAGCAAGAGGAAGAGGAGGAGGGACAGAAGGAGGAAGAGGAATATATTATTAAAATTTCCTCTGCGCTAACCACCAAGCCAATCTTAGCCTCACAATTTGAAGCTATGGGCAGATACCTTCTTCTAAGTCTAACAGCTCTGCTTAACCAACTGTGTCTTCAAGACTACACCAATGTCCCATCCCTCCTGCCCTGGTGCCTCCCTGGGTCCTACATGGCATAGATACTCATAACTCATCCCAAATCCTTAACTTCCCTCCCCTGCTCTCTACCACACTCTCCCACCTTCAGTGCTTGGTCACCTTTCTCTCTGAAAGTCACTCAGGAGCCCAGACTCTTCTCCCATAGGGTTGGATCCAAACTGGGACAGACCCCTCACCATGCAAAACCCGGTGGAGGAAAAACAAACACACATTGTCAGATGCGTACATTTTAATAAGGAGGTGGACAGCAGGGACGGCTTCCCTGGGAGTCTGTACACGGTGTACTGGCATTCACGGTATTCTTGGCCAGTGTTTCTCATTAGACCAGTTAGTTTTGTCATCTACACCTGTAAGGCTGATCCTCACGTAGGGCTGGAGGCAGCATATC